TATGAACAAAATAGTTTCTCTGTCCAAGAATAAAGCAGTGTTAGTAATATTGCTTGTTAAGTATTTTTGAGTATTTTTAACTAGACGATTTTGCAGGTTGCTGTGTTGTTGGTTTTTTTCTTTTTAAAGATGTTTTGCCAAACAGTTTCAAATCAATAATAGCAATGGGATTGGAAATGGTATTTATGGATGAGAGATTGGCATTTTCTCTCTTTAGGCTTGTACTGTTCTTGTGAATAGTATTTAACAGTTACTAAAATTTAATAGAATTGCATCATGAAAGTGTCTCTATGTAAATACTTCTAGTGTTCTTTGTAAAGTATAAAATGTTTGAAAGTGAACCAAACCTTACATTTTCCTCTTTGTTTTTGAACAGCCCTGAAAAACCAGAAAGTGTGAAAATAGAAGTGGAAAAATCACCTGTTGTGAAATATGTGGATGCTGAAACATCTTTATAGAACGGAACCAAGAGGAATTGTGTGTATTTGTGTGTGTATATATGTATCACTGTAGGATATTATACCATGGAAGTGTGATTTCCAATTTAAGGAGCAACATATATTTAATTCTGCCATTGTTTAGGGCACTGTAGATATGCTTGCGTAATGCGAAGATTTTTCCAATAAGTAAGATGAGTGGTAATCACACTTCAGCTATTTATTTTATTGGGAATTTTATTTTAATTTTTAAATAGGAAGACTGTAATGAATGCTTATTATTTTCAATAATCAATATGTGCATAAAAGTTACATCAGCTTTTGCTGATGGTTACTGGTCCACATGGCTTAAAGTTTTGCAATACCTCTGTTTATAATGTGCGCTACAGAAGTTTGTTTTCCATGCAGGCAATTAGTGCTTGTTTTTTGCAGGGTATACTTTTTTTTGTGGTTTCATAGAACAAATGTTAATGTGCTGTTGACAAGAACTGCTGTGGTTTGTCTCCACTCCATGCTAGTGTTTTCTGGAATCTGTCTCTCCTATTCTACAGAAGTGGCCTAGAGCCCTAAGTCAGATGGTTAGTTAAGCCTTAAAATATATCTAAATACCCTGGTTTCCTGCTTTCCCTTTTTTTTTTTTTTTTTTAATTGTGTCTTGGTTTTTCATTATTGTCCAGTAGCAGTATGAGTGCAGTAATTAGATCCCCAAGTCAGTATTTGCCATTCTGGACACTCCATGTTTACACAATATAATTTGAAATTACAGGCAGCAATTTGGTCTCTACAAAGTTATACATACTTACCACAACAGTACTCTTGAATTCTTTTCTTCTGGTTTTTACTTGCATTTTTTTCTATTAACTTGCAGAGTCTGATTTACTTAGCTCTAAGAATGAAATACTCTAAAAGTTTCATGTCTTCATCAAATATATTTCTTGGGTTTTAAATTTACTGTGTATTTGATTAAATTAGCTGTAGTTTAATTCTGGAATAGGTTTATGATCAGTATTATTTTATGGATTACTAATTGCTTGTGGTATTTGTGTGTACAGTTCTGATCCTCTCCATTGTAAAGGGCATATATGATATCACACCAACTTATTTTTAAACATTTTATTTATTTTAATTAGTATAAATTTTTATCATGTACAATGAATTGAAGAAATAAATATTCATTTATTAAAGTAAATGGGATTTTTGGGGGGCTCTACTGATAAAGATACAGTCAGTGTGCATTTATTATACTTAACATTTTCAAGTTCTAGAGTTTAGCACTATAATATTTGAAATAATGAGAATTTTATATATAAATGAAAATCTTGATCAATTACCTGCGCAGTTTCCATTGTTAATACTTTTTGCCTTATACCTTAGGGGTTTTTTTTGTATTTACTTTCCATCTCTTTACATTCTGTATTGCCACTAGACCTTTCTGGATGTATTGCAATGGCTTTAATTAGAATCTGTACTAATTTAAAATTAGAAGATGCTGTTTGCTATTAAGCAAACTGTTGGCAAAATTGGGAGTTTTATCATGGACCAGTTGAGGTGGTCCAGCAAAAGGAGCTGATTCTGGAGGAAGGCAGACTTTATCTGAAAATACCACTTGAGGTGGAATTTTGGTGCACTTCAGCCAAGTGTCACCTCAAGAGAAGGTAATTGTATATTACAAAAATAAAGCAATCAGTGGGAATAAATAGAAACATTTAAAAATAGCATTTACATTACACGGACTGTTACTGTTCCCTTTAAATGTAATGTAATTATTTAACATTTTTCTTCCTTTTTTTTTTTTCCTTTTTTCATTTGACTGAATTCCAAGAAGACAGTTTAAAGAAAGGAAGTTGTAGTGTACAGCAATATGAATAATGGTATCCAAACTGTCATAACAAAGGCTCAGGTCAGTGGCAAAGCAAGTGAGGTCTGCATTAGCAGTTTGACCAATACTGTGTAATGACCGGTGTTCTTAGATAATAGTGTAGCTTGTGCCTTAGTTTGAGTTTGTGCTCTTTTAGAAAATAACCCATGTTTTCCCTCTGATCAAACTGAGATACAGTGAAACTACAGCAGATGGTTTCCCAAAACTTTCTACATTATTTAAAAAAATAAAAAGCACATATCTGCATGTCAGTTGTTGACTACTAAGTAGCTCTTGCTGAATCGAAGAGAGAAGATAATTTGAGCATTTTAGGTGACATTGTCCACAACACATTACTTTTGTTCTAGTCCTCCCAGTAGTATTTTACACTTAATGTTCAGAGTCCTACAACAGTTTCCAAAGACACAAAAAATTACTATAAGCCTCTTGGATTTCTAACTCTTTAATGCTGGAAATCAGGGTTCTGTGGTGCTGCACACCTTGTGTCTGGCTTCTACTTTGGGAAGGTTAAGTTTAGGTCAATATTACAGGAAGTGGATATATTTCTAGTAAAGTAGAAAGGAAACAAAACCAAAGCCCACAAGTCTAATCACAGTATTTATTTATTGTGTAGATATTTTAATCAGTGCCAGAAAGACCATAACTTGGCAAACCAGTTTACAGTAATCTTTAGTTCCAGTATTCCTAGGCAGTAGTAGCACGTTATACTTGCACTTTTTCCCCATATGAACAGGAGAAGATCTGGTATTAAGTGCATAAATCTCTATTGATAATCCATGGTTAAGTGATTCGCTGCTCATTTTACACCTTCTCTGCTTTAAAATCACGCATGGTATTAAAATGAAATGGCTAAGGATGTAGTTTCTATTTTAGATATATGTTTTGCCTTAATGGATGCAAAAGAGCAGTGATAATTGCTGTGCACTGATTTTTTTTCATAGGGTTTAAGCCCTGTAAAAACTACGCCAATGTATTTCCATTCCAACAGTCAGAGAAAAATAAACAACCCTGCACTTTTTTTAGATGCCTTGGTTTCCTGGAATGGAGCTTAGTGCTACTGTGTACCTGGCTGCAGAGCCACCTCAGGAAGTCCCTCTTTTTTTTTCCTTTTTTTTTTTTCCCCCCTTCTTCTTTTTTCATTTTTTTTCTTTTCTTTTTTTTTTAATTTATTTAAAAATATGAATGTTTACATGAAGTGTAGGTCTTAATTTTGACCACTCCATTTAAATTATCATCTAAAATGTATCACTTAAAATGCAGTTGCATGTTTAAATTATATTCTAGACAAGTCATTCTTACTGTTTTCACATGTATTACAGTGACATGTTTCTCATTCTGTTTACATATGCCCAAGTTAATGACAGTTTCTTCCTAGATTAATTTTGCAGTTATAACATAATATTTTTAAAATTTTTCTGTGAAATGTTCCAAATTGCCAAGTTTGTCATCATAAAACCTTTTAGGGTAGAATTTGGTGCCCTAATGGTGTTTTTTTCCAACCAAGTATCTTGGCCATTTTTTCCACATTTAATGAACGTTCTCCCATAAGTTATCATTTGCTTCATTCACTTGCATCTCTGTCTGTATACAGTAACTTCCTAAAGGCAGGTTCGACAGGCTGTAAAATATATCTGTAACAAATAGTTGTCACATCACAGAGCCTGCACCATTCTAAAGGGTTTGTCTTGTACATATGTTCTGTAAATCATAAGGTAAATGGTTCATGACTTTCAGTTCACAAATTTAGTCTGTCAGATGAGCACCACAGTGAGCTTAGTTTTCTTTTTGCTTTTTTATGATTAGTAATGTTTTAATTACTCATCTAGGACAAAATTATCAAGTACAGTACAAATGTGTGAAATATTTTCTTTATACCAACAGTAATTTATTTTATGGCAAATTTTAAGACTATAGAGACACACAGCTTTGAGTCAGCATAAATGTAGTGCTATAAATAAAGCAAATTGCTCAGTAAGTTTAAGTCGATTTTATTTTATAATGTTTTTAGTGAAAACCTCTAGAACTTTGTAGTTGGCATTGAAGTTAACCTAAAGACACTTTCATATTGAATTTAGTATCTGTTGACATTTATTTGGAATAATGAATAAGTTCGAAAATGGATACTTTTCTAAATTATTTTATTGGAAAGACACATCATTTATAGTGTTTTCTTTTCTATCGTTGCTGATGGTCCTGTGCAAAAGTGTCTTCCAGGTTCAGCTTCTGCAGCTGAACTGAGGTTTTGATTTTAATACTCTTTATTTGAAATGTGATTACATACTGTATGGTTTGAATTTTTTACAACTGCTTTTCTAATTACAGTGACGTTTTCTTACTTTATAACCAAATCCAAAGCAAACGAAAACATTATTCCAGCTGTAGAATCAAAATTCAGTTTATACAGAAAACACAACTCTCAGACTTGTCTTTAATGTGAAAGATTCAGCCTTTGTGTTGTTTTAATTACTGCTAGAATAAAATTATCTTTTGTAACATTTCAGAAAGTTGGTAAAAGCAATAAAAAAATCTCCTGGACTCTATTCAGGCCGTTTCTGTTTTTATTGCCCGGGACCAGGGGCCTGGAGGTGCCGGGATCTGACCCTACGGGGAGGGTTCGGCCATGGCGTCCCCGTGCCCATGGCAACGGCACCGGGCGGAAGCGGTAGCCAGCGTCCCCCAGGGCTGCGGAGCACGACGGCTCGCGATAGGCCGGCGGGCCGGCCCGCTCCAAGAAGAGGGGAGACGATTGGCCGCAGGGTCCCGTCCGGGCGGAGGGAGCGTCGCCGTCGCCGGGCCGCGGAGCGGAGCCGAGCGCGCGCCGCGGCGTGAGTGGGAAGGGGCGGGTGGAGCGCGCGGCGCGCTGAGCGGCCGCGGGGAAGGGAACGGGAGGGAAGGGGGAAGGAAAGGCGGTATCTCCATCCCTCTCCCATTCCGCTTGATGACGTCTTCCCCAGCCCTACACCTTTGCCAGCTCTGAGCATTAGGCATTAGGAGGCATTAGGCAACCTCTCGTGATTCACAAAGGCTCCCAGTCATAGCGGTGTAATTCCCCATAAAGGTCTGACCGGTAGCAAGGGCGGAGAGGATGAACTTCACAGAGCTACGTGTTCTTCTTGAGTTGATACTGAGCTGCTCACTAGACCTCAGAAATCTGGGGTTTTTAATTCCCCCTCCCCCCCCCCCCCCCCCCATCTGTGAACTGCAGATTAACAGGGTGGATTTAGGCAGACTACAGATAAAATATATGCTGTGGAAAACAGCCCAGAGACTGACACTGCGTGAGGTCAGGAATCTGAGAACAGGCCTGTCCATTTATGGCTCCACTGGAACTGAGGTGGTGCAGAGAGAAAACAAAAAACCCAATCAAACCCAAACCAGCAGAAGCTTGAATACTCTTATTTGTTAGGAAAGCAGGAACTTTACATTGGATTCTAGTTATCCTTTAGAGAATCCCCAAAGGAGTTATTAAATAAAATTTCTGATAAATATATATGCATGTGAAAGTTGTCATATACAGCAAACACAGATTTCCATATTGATTCAGTCAATAAAATGAAAGAAATACTCTTCAAACATTGTCTGTATGGGTTCTTCAGTACAATTTCCTAGACACAGACTGTGACTGGTGGGGATCTATTTGTCTGACTGCTGTGTTCTCTGAGAACAAGAGGGGAAGACATCCAGACTTCCCTTTGTTTCCATCAGACAAGAGAGGAAAAGTACCTCTTAGTAACTTTTCATCATCTTTGATGCTTCCTTTGCCATCACTTTGACCATATTTGGAATCAATTTCTATTTTGACAGTAATATGTTGATAAATGCTCTTTTAAGGAGCGAATTTTCATCTGACCTTCATCTGACCCAGTTTATGGTATTAGATACATTCCTGTCTAGCAACAGCATCAAAAGTCTTACTAAAACCAAGATATAACGTATCTACTGTTTCTTTATCCACTTTAAGCCAATTATCTTGTGTATGATTAGATAGTGGAACTCAGCCACTGGAGTGATTAAGGAAGGAGTTCAAGGGTAAATCCATCAACTAGTTGGCTTACAAACTGTCCATATCCAGTAGTTATTGCTAATAAAGATTATAAAGAATGTGAGATGTCTTTTTGAAGAGAACGTTACACTGTAGTTGTTGTTGGTAGATATATCCTCCAACATGTCTTTGTGTTCTTGTTTATTTTGGGATTTGTTTTCACCTTCTGAAGCTTATGTGTTTAAGTCATCTGAGATGAATACTGGATTGGGCCACAGATCAAGTCTGGGATAATTCCTTTGTCTCCTGTTTCTCATCATGTGGATTCTTTCATTTCTGACAGGATTCTTGGAGCATTTCTTGTCCTATCCTGCATTCCAGTGCTATCAGAATGCATCTCCCTTCCTATGGAATTAAATGAACATAACTAATTACATGTAATTATCCCCAGTTAAAATGAATTAATTAATATTGCTCTCATTGTTTTAAATGGAATGAAATAAGACTGTAAAGACATTTTCCTTTTAATGTGTTTCTGTTCTTTTAAAGAGTTGTCTGATCCCATTTTTTTTCTGGCACAACCTAAGTGAGTGTTGTTTGGTTTGTTTCTTACACATTACTCATGGCTGGCTTAATAGCAGGGGGATAGTTATGAGGATAGTGAATAGCCTGGCTTCATGGAAATTTCTACTGGCATGAGTAAAGAAGAAACAGAGGGGTGGGAACTTATCCAGCAACTTCAAGAAAGTCAAATAAGTGTGAGAATAGTTAAGGAATATTTAATGTCTGTTTTCTCTCAGGTTTTTGGCTGACAGAATGAAAAGAGGGGGTTATTTCCTTTTGTCTACCCCTCACTCAGGGTGTGGTGCTAATATACCTACCTGATTTAATGACTGAGGAAAGAGACTTTCTGTGCCTTCCTGCCAGTCAGCAGAGATACTCATCAGGCTACTGTAACAGTGAATTAAAATGGTAGAAGAGTTACTATACTTGAAGGGAGGCATATTGTTCCCTTTCTCTAAATTGGCTCAGGTTGGGTCACATCAGCTGAAGAAGAGGACAGTGGCTGAGGCTGGGAAGGGAAGGAAAGGGGAAAGCTATTTTCATCAGCAGGTGGCTGTTAATGAATGGGTTTAATCTCTGTAGTAAAGCTGAAGGGCACAGCACTTTAAGCTGCATGGATAAATGCTCCTTTCTGGATGTTGTCCTTGCCCTTGTACAACAGAAGTACTTGGGGACAAGCTGCAAGGTCATAGGGGTTAAAATAGGAGAGTTTATTCATAACCTGAATCAGGTTTCCCAGTCCAGTGAGCTGTGCATCTATGGTGATGCTCTGCTGACAGACCAGAGAGATCTGTCTCTATGAAATAGAGGTAATACCAGGGTGAGTTCTCAGGGCTGGGTGAGGGCTCTATCCTTGAGTGAACTACATCCCTTCATTTTCAGGCAGCAGTGCAGGGAATTTGACTTGATGTTTGTGAGGTTCAATTTTGTATAGAGACTTTTGGATCTGTAATGGCAATGGACCTTAAAAATATTAGTCAGCTGTTCCTCTGTTTCATCTTTACCAAGGTACAGTAAACAGCAAAAGCATTGGACTGGCAGCCCTAAAGCAAGGTTGGTCTGCAGCTGCAAAATGTAAATAATCACAGACTTAACAATTTTGGATTAAATCCTAGCCATACTGGGAATCCTGCTGTTTGTGGTTTAGAGATTTAACCCAAGGGTTACTTTTTTTCATGGGATGCTGAAAATTTTAAAAATTTAACTCTGTTTGGTCATGGAAAAGTTGTTTGTGTGTGGTTTTGTTTGGTAGTTCTTTAATTGGTTGAAATCTGTTCTTTGTGAAAATGTACTCCTGATCAAGTTGACAGTTTGTGAGTTTCACACTTTTTCCTACTGTACAAATGTGAGGTGCTTATTGCATCGTGTCATGCCTCGATAATGTCCCAAATAGACGGGTGTACTGGGGAGATGATATAAGAACATCATTAAAACAATACATGGAAATTCTCACGAGGACTCTTAACCATGCTTAAGACAGTGTACGTGTCTTCTCTTAACTTTTAATGCTCTTGAAGCAGAGGAAATAAATGCTTCGAGCTAGCTGCATTTGGTTTAATCTGAACTCAAGAATTTTGTCTACTGACTATTAGAACAGATTCTGTTTATATTAATTCCTTGGTAATAACTGCTGCCACAGAAGTGTTCTGAGGTGTTTTTTAATAACCTTGTTGAGTAGATGCATGGGAGAGAGAGAGAGATTTCTTGTGGATCCAGATCAATCGTTCTCTATGTGGGGACTAGTGGTAGGATAAAGGCTTGTTCAGAAGACTAGAAATGAATGAACTGGGCTTACAGGCCACTTCCCAGAGTGATTTAATACAGTGCATGAGTTCATACTGTCAGCAGTTGCAGTTTGGGTACTTCTGTGATGCAAAATTGTATAGCTGGAAAAAATATGTTCATTTGGGAAGAAGCAGCTTCTTTCTGGTAGTTTACAAATGCTTTTGTTTCCTGACTGGTTTTCTTCTTCTTTACCTTTATGAGGAAAAGGAATAAAAATCAGTAATAGAATTCTACACTGCAGGAGGCTGTCATGTTTCATATGGAAAATTATATTAAAGAGACACCAAAGGCATCATCCAAACGGTCTGTATTTAACAATAGTAAAATGGGTAGAAAGGATGAGACAGTGGAATTATATCCTCATTTTTTAAATTGGAAATACTCTACCAATGTTACAGCTGTATCCAGTTCTCTAGGATAATTTTACAAACTCAGTCTGTTCCTGACCATCCTTTTTTTTTCTTCACTGAGAACAGGATCTGCATCAATATAATTACTTTTGTGGCAGCAAGAGATTCCCCTTGAATATACTCTTTCTGTATCTTTCTGTCTCTTTCTAGGGCTTTATAAGATTTTCAGTGAACAAATGTATGCTGTGCCAGCGACTAGCTGAGAGCTTTTGTGGGAAGTCAGACCTACATGTATGCTTGACTGCAGGAATTTAATACATGGTAACGGCCAATTGAGCTCTGCTTGTCTGTGGAAATAAGCTGTGTGTCCCACTGCAAGGAATGCGGACACTATTGGTATAAGGCATTCAGCTGAGAATTCAGAAGACCTAGTTCTAAACTACTGAAAATTTCTGTTATTCTTTGGCAGAATGATTGTAGATTCATAGAATGGTTTGGGTTGGAAGCGACCTCAAGATCATCTAGTTCCAAGTCTACATGTCTGGTTGCTCACAGTCCTGTCCGACCTGACCTTGAACACTTCCAGAGACGAGGCATCCACTACTTCTCTGGGCAACCTGTTCCAGTGCCTCACCACCCTCACAGTAAAGAATCATAGCCCCCCTCTGCACTCACTCCAACTGGTCCATGTCATTCTTCTGCCAGGGGCCCCAGAGCTGGATGCAGTACCCCAGGTGGGGTTTCCCGGGAGCAGAGTAGAGGGGGAGAATCACCTCTCTCGACTTGCTGTATGCATCTCATTTATTTGTAAGATACCTCCTTTTTCTACCCTTTGTTCAACTTGTTTATTTGGACGATAAAACTGTTATATTCTCTGTTGTCTGGACAACAGCTTGTTTTTGACAACCTTGATGTTAGCTGTAAGCACTGCTGTGACATAAATAGCCAATCCATGGTGAGAAATAAGAGGAAAAGAAGAGGAAAAATCCTAATAAAAATACATGCAATAGCAAGACAGCCAGTATTATCTACCCATGTGTTAATATCTGGAATTCTAAAGGATATCCTGATGTAATGCCCAAGGTTTCATGCTGAGAAAATGGTAAAGCTGTTTTTTTTTTCTTAAAGTTCTGTCAGTTGGTTCTCTAAGTAAACATGTGTTCCTTTTGCTGCAATGATATAATTCTTTGTGTCTACTTTATTTTTAAGGAAATGAGTTTTTAGCCACATAATGATGATCGTAATACACAATGCCTGATCAGGACAAAAAGTTGAGGAGCACAGAAAAAGCAACAGACAAAAAACCTCATGGGATCTCTATGAGGTATAGTATCTGACGTTTTACTTTGAACTTCAGCAAGACTCGCGTGGAATTTGCACTGGCTGCCAAAGCAGAATGCTTTAATTTGAAATGCAATGTAAACATGACAACTGTTACTCTGGTCACAAAGTTTATTTACACCTTTGTTGATTTAAGTCATTCTGGAGAATTTGTAAATTCACAAAATGGGGACACTAGGCAACACCAGAAAACTTTATTTTCTGCCAGTAGCATTGTTGCTTGTTGACCTTCCTTACTCTTATGGAAATACTTTTATGTAACTATTAGCACATGTCTTTATGCTATCGTGTTTTTTCCTAGGGATTATTCTGACCTGAAAAAACTTCAGTCTCTCTTGAATGTTCAGTCAAGGAACCAACAGGTATTTTTCAATAACTGTTATTAAACATGCTTTAGAATTCTAATTAATGGTGATTATGGTTTGTGGCATATACTTAGAACATCGTGTTCTATTATGATTAAACTTTTTTTTTTTTTTCCAATGTTAGACCTACTGTGTGGGACAAATCCCATTTTGAACGGGTAAAAGAATGAAACTGCTCCTCTTCTCATCTTACTACACTATATCTTTTTTATTTTAATGGGGAAAAAATAACTTCATTTTGTATCTTGAGCAGGTTTTATGCAGCTGTTGTTGCATATAGTCAAGTAGTCTAACAGATTTGTTCTCCTCCGTGCCCTGCCACAATGTCACAAGAAGGTAGGCTTAGAGATGTGTAAGTTACAACAAAGGGGAGAGTGTTAAAGAATATAAAATAAGATCAGCATTTTAACCATAAACAGTTTGACTTTGGAGAATAACATTTCAGCTAAAAATATTCAAAGCATAAATATCAATGCATGAAACTTACAGAACACAATAAAGTCTCCTTAACCTCAACTCACTTAGTGAAGCTTGTATTTGCCATTTGAAGCAAAGAAAACCAATATGTGATGATGGGTGTGTGTCTTCGGAATGCCAGAACATTTTTTCCCTTTCTATTCTGTAAAAAGATATGACAAAATGCCTTAAGGATTCATCTGCGTGAGGTAGGAGTTGTGCACTTTCTACGTGGTTGGAATTGTTTCTGAGCCAAAAGCTGAGACATGTGAATTCCGCAACGTAAAATAAATGTGAAGGCTGTGCAAGTGTAGAATTGGGACAGGTAAGGAGCATAGATAATGAGCGTGTGTCGCATATTTTGTTGAGTTTTGCTATTATAAATTTTAAAAGACACCATTCTTCACATTTTGTTTATGTACTTGTTTTCTGGTCTAGCTTTGCGTCAGTTTTCTGCCACCTTAGTTTTGTTTTGAAGGGGTTGTGCGTATTTTATGATGGGAAGTTATAGGTCTGAAGTTCAAGTCAGAACTTGGGAAAAGGTACTTTTACTGGATAATATTCTCATAAAACTTAAAATGCAGTGTTTGCCTAATGATGACTATCCCTTTCCTCCTTAGCTTCCAGCTATGTATTTTGAAAGTGTTCAATCCAGTGTGACAAGAGCTTGTAAAAATGTGAAAAGCAAGGAACAAGAAACCAGTGGTCAATGGCAAGAATCAACAGAAGCTGCTGAGCTTGAAAAATTTAGGTAAAAATAAAAAAAAGCTAATATGATGGCACACTTGTTTCTCTGAGTATCTTTATATTCTGGTATCTAAAGCTTATTGAGGTGTTGAAGGCATTTATATTTGTACTTATGTTTATTACTTATATTTTGATATTAACCCAGTATTTGAGACACGAATGATGTATTTTTAACTTTCTAAACCTAACTGTGAATGTTTCTGCCTTTGTAAGTTTCAAACACTTACTCCCACTCAACAGAGTATACTGTTGAGAGTTACTATACTCATTTTAAATAGTGATCATTTCTTTATTTGGAAAACTTATACCATTATAATAGTCCCAAAGTATGCGTGAGAAAGACTGTTCTTCCATACTGTTAATGTCTGGCAATCTGAAATTGTGTTATTCCATGTTAACTGCTGATATGACATTTCTTATTTTTTCTTGCTAAAGTCATTTTTTGGCAAACTAAAATTATCTTGTGACAAGTTAATTTGCAATTCAGCATTTTCCTTTTTTTTTTTTTGATCTCATTAGTGTGACCTACAAGAATGAGAGAAGTTTTAGCGAATGTCCCAAACACAGGCTGTTTCAAGATCTTTATGGCTTTAGTCAAGAACAGACTTACCCACAGGTCAGTATATCGAACACATTCATATCCGAGAAGGAGGTCCACTCTTTCTTGCCTTAAGCAAAGAATGAAGATGCATGTATAATATTTCATGTTGTTTCAACAATGTATATGGCATATGTGTTTCAACAGTACAACTCTTTGTGGAAACCACCCGCTGCACATCTCTTCATAATCTCAATTTTAAACAACTACTTCTGTATTGGTTTTGGGGAGCAAATGCACAGGTTAGTGGGACAGAGTAAAGAAGAACTGAGTATATGATAAAAATTGGTTGACCAAAATTCTAACAACTGCTATGTTTCCTTGATCATTTATCCATATCTAGTATCTGGAATCTACGATTTGCTTTCCTAATTTATTTTACTGATTTTATTTGTATTTTATGAACGGCTTACCTTTATAGACAGGCCAGTCGTAAAATTCAGATGAGTTTGTGCCACTTGTTCATATTTATTTGTACTTGTGTGTATTATAGGATTAGAAAGGGAAATCCCTTTCTTATGCTGCTCTCATTTAAGTAAGGAAAAAGTGAAAGACCTTAAAAAAATAGTGGGGGCAGATAAAGATATTTTCTGTGAAAAAAAAACATTTTTCAGGATTTCTTTTACTATACTCCACTGCAGTGTGTTGTATTTTTATTTTTTAAAGCCCAAATATATTTTCCAACAAAAACTTTAAATGGTACAGAAGCTTAAAGGAGGAATCCTAGAGCATTTGAAAATATTAATGTGTAACTGCTAGAATTTACAGAGGAACTTAAAAAAATCGCATAGCTTGCTTGGACCTTTATTCAAAACTACCTGGGGAACTAGGGATCTCATAATTGATTATATAAGTGCCAGTGAATTTAAAACTGATCATTTAAGTGATTTATAAATTCAGTGCCTCTTTTTTGCACGTGAACTCAGTACTCACCCGTGGGAGGTCAGTGTCTCAGCTTCATTTACCAGAAAATCTAAGAGTAGCTTACGCTGTGAATTCCCAAGTTCTATTTTTACATTGTGGCATGCTTGGCTTATATTTTGGTTTTCTTTGGTGATCCTTATTGTTAATAATGATATAGCAAAATGAACCTCTTTTATGAAAAATGAAAGCACCCAGGTAAGATTAATGAAACAAGCGTATCTTAGTGGGTATGTAAACCCCATGTCTTCTCTTTGGAACTACTTCCATTTCTTTGTGTCAGAACCATAGACTGTCACCTTGATTTGCATTACATGCTTTGGCTGGCATAACAATGTTGTTTGGGTGCAAGAAAAAATCACCCCTTCTTACTGGCATCACTGTGCGTGCAGAAGTCCTGGTTGCAGGTAGTTCTGTTGACAAGAAGACTGTGATCAGCTTAGCTTAAGTAGTTGGGATAAGGTGCATAACTGAGGTTGAAAAAATCCTGCTGGTGTAAGGTGGATATACACTGGCGTATCTAGTAGTGTGTGTTGTAAATGTCACCATAGTAGAAGGGGCTCTCAAATGTTAATGAGAATGACTGTCCACCATGGCAATATCTTCAGGTCACTTTAAAACCTGGCCTGCAAATTTTGCACACAGGTATATGGTTGCTGTTTTTATTCCAAGAAAGTTTTGTGCTGTTCTGAAGATGCCAATTATGGAATCATAATGAAAAATAGTATTTCTTGAGGCAGAATATTGGCAGAGGGCCTGAGATTTTGTTAGCATCTATTTGTAAAACATTTATTTTTATCAAAGTATTTTTAGCTATTGGCATAATTCCTAACTGCAAATGATAAAATAGGAAGAGAACTGACATGTCCCATAAACTTCTTCTGTTTTTTGGAAATTTATCCAAACAAATTCTATCCTCTCAGTTAAAACAACAACAAAAACACACAGCAAAGATGTCTAATTTTAGGTTTATTTTAAATAGTAAGATGGGGTTATATACCTTCAACAGACAATGGAAACTGTGATTCTGTTACTGGTATTTTATGCAGGATTACTGCCCCTGGGTGCTTTGTGCAAATCTGCAAATTTGATTGTGTTTTCTGCCAAGCCTTGTGCTGGAGAACTGTATGGAGGAATATAAAGGGGGAAGTTCTACGTGGAAATACAATCCTATTTCAAGAACATTTGAACTATAGCTATTTTTAGTTCTATAGCATACATATTTTTACATAAGTGCATTTTGTGCACTGAAGTTTGCTGTGTGGTTTCTCTCTTATTTCTGCCTTTTTGGGCCTTGATCCAAACACTTAAAGTATCTTTATATCAGAGCACACTCAATTTGTTCTTAGAGATAAGCATGTACTTTCCTGCATCAGTTCAGTGATAATAAGTGATGGCTGGCAATGCTCATATAATGAAATGAATTTATTTATAGCTGCTACTAGGTTTGAATATAAACAGTATTAAAAGTTCTATGGTATAGTATGTTGAACAGTTGTTGTAGCTCACTAATCTTCTAGTCAATTGATTCCCGAATCAAACTGTTTTATTTGTTTAAACGCTATTTTATTGAATTTGGTTAATGTTTTGAATATTTCTTTTACAGGGAGTGAGTGGGTTATTCAAGCTCCATCCACCCATTTTCTTAGGGTATTGATCTGCCTGAGATTATTAATAAGGGATCCATGCTATCAGGTCAGTATGTCAAAATATTGTTTCTTGCTTGGATAGGAGAATGCATATAAGCATCATGCATATAAGCTCTGTTGGTGCTTATATATAAAGACATTTGTTCTTATGAATGCATACTTATTATATGTATGTGCCTATATTTCTGTATGTGAAGATGTGATTTGCAAACAAACAGATTCCGAGAGTGATTTTGCACTGTTACTGCATAACTTGCTCAATTTCTGGTATTTCTTATGTAGGATCTGTTGTTGCTAACCCTAACAAAGAAACTGTAAATCTCCCAACAGATGGATGGGTCATTCCACTGAGCCCTAGGCTCTGTACTTGACTTTACCATATAAATATGTAAAATTGCCATAATGTAGTAAGTGAAGTAAACTGAAAGCCACAGTTTTAAAACCTTTAAAATTTCACTTCTGTGTTTTTATCTACTTATTTTAAGTAATTCTTAACTCTGAAGGTGCTAAGCATTTCAAGCGTCCATTGACTTTGACCACTGGAGTCAGAATTTCTCAATAAACAAACAAAGTTTGTTTCCAGGACAAACAAAGCATTTATGTTCTAGTGTTCTCTTTTTCTGGCATTTTCCATATTTTGACTGATTTTTAATTTTTTTTTCCATCTTCCCGTAGGAAATGCTTCACAGCTTGGGTGGAATTGAAAATCTAGCTCAGGTAGAATTCCTCATATACCCTTGCCCATTATGTTTGCATGTCAGTTTATTATGTTTGGAACGAAATACACTGCAAAAAGCAGTGTCCATATATTCCTGGTTTATGGAACAAAGAGAGTCCAGTACTCTGCACATAAGCCATTGGTGTGGTCTTTTTCATTAGTGTACAAAACTGTACAAAGCATCTGTCCTTATATACTATTGCATCACAGAACATTTTTTCATGAGACAGATGCACCACCTACAGGCTATTTCTGTGCATAACATTCTGGGTTTATGAAGTCTTAAAACTTTTTTTACTGGTATTCTTTATTTTTTCTCTTCTTGTAGTATATGGAAACAGTAGCAAATAGCTGTCTCAATTATGGAGAGGAGCAGCATAACGTAGACAAGTTGGTCAACATGACATGTAAGTGTTATAGCTGATAACAGACGTGATAAGGCTACTTACAACTTTTTGTGTGAGGCTTAAAACGTTGAGAATACTTGAGGTGGTCATTAAGTAAGATACTACTAGAATCATTGCAGGCATCAGCACACAAATAAAAACTGAAATTCCTGTGGAAAAATATATTTTGTTTTTCTACATTTAAGTATTTTAGAAATTATTACCTCTTTATGCATTGAACTGGAAGAGTAAAATTAGCTAGTCACGGTTCAAAGAACTTATGCAGTATTTTGCTTTATTATCTAACTAGTAAAATGAAAATATTAAATGGTAAAGATTCAATTTATTTAACTTCTTTTGTTCCATAGACATTTTCCAAAAGCTTGCTGCTGTTAAAAATCAAAGGGAATGGGTCATAGCAAGTGGAGCACATAAAGTAAGTGCTTTATAAAATTACTAATTATATGTAATTAGCTACTTAATGGAATGACTTATGCTTTTCAGATTTGACTTAGGTGGGATTAAATTCCTTACCTTGTCAAGCTTGTAAAGTGAAATAATCTCTGTGTTTGAGAGATATACTAGTTATTTGAGAGATATACTAGTTAATTGGTCTGATACATGGTTATTGGTTGTTTGAGATAAATTTAAATGTTTGGACTAAACTCTTTCATATAAAAATTGGTACTCATGTTTACACTGTCCTGAGCTACACGTTACTATGATACAAATAGTTTTACATAATTTTAAAATATAAATATATTTTAGTTACTTTTTATATAAATTTCTGCTATGATTTTTCACTTGTGAGGTATTCTAAATAGAATAGTGTCAAGCTAGACAGTGACAACCCAGGCATAATGCTATACATTACCATTAGTCTAAGGATCTGTATTTAACCATTGCTGATTTGTGGCTAAACTGAGAAACAGTAGAGGTTGAAATAATTTTAACTCGGGTTTATGATTTTATCATGCTACAGAAAAACATAGGCAATTCTGATCAGATAATATCAGACAACCTGTTTTTAGAGAATCTAGACAAATATGAAGTTTACTTTAGATATAAATCATGAACAGAAATACAGGCAGGGCCTTAAATTACTGTGCTGTTTAAATATAAGCTATATATTAACGGTTTGCTTCAGGAGGCGTGATTTAGAGTTCTGAAATGTCTTACGCAGAAACTAATTTTTACAATGGTCTAAGTTAGACAGATGCTTTAGCAGTCAAAAGATATGCTAATTGCAGTTTGAGAAGAAATGTCCTTGCTTGTCCTAAAACTAGGTGTATTCTAAGACATTTATTTAAGCGTACTTTGAACGTACCTAAGACTTTTAACATACTGTGAAAGGATTTGGTATCTTAATTTTTACTTTTCAATAAATATTTCTATATGCGTTTTGAGTTGTAAAAGAAAATATTATGCTTTATGTTTACTTACCTTGTTTCATGTTTTATTTTCCAGACCTTAGTAAATTTGTTATGTGCCCGAGACAGCAATGTCCTTTTGGGTGCCCTCCTTGCTCTGATTAACCTAGCAGAAAGGTAGGTTCAACTTCATGTGCTGTAATTAATGTTTTCTCTTGACACAATTTTAAAACTGCTGTAGAGTTGTTTTTTTTTTTCCAAAATGAATCTTTGTTTTCTGGAGATCTATGAAATGTTCTTAATTTTATACTGAAGTATGAGAAACTAAGTAGAAACTTTGGTCCTCGCAGCAGACTTTTTGCTCATGTGGAGAACTCTGCATGACTGGAGTCATAGGACCTCTCTTTGAGATTCTTATGCAGGGTTCTGGAATTCCTACTGACTTTCTGCATATAAAAGTATTTGTCCTGAGGTTAATCTAACAGTGCCTCACAATAATCAGGTATAATATTGTTCAGTGGAGTAAATAATAAAAGCATGCACTCAAATCTATGTATATGTACCCTCCTTTCATGAATTAGTGTTTAAATAAAGATAACGCTTTTATCCTGTTGTGGAGGGGGAAAAAAAGGAAAAGAAAGATAGAGCATCTTTCATCTATAGTAGTTCTATAGAAAAAAAAAATACTTCTTCTACATTGTTGTTCTGTTGTCTTCCAGACTTCCCAAAATTCTTGCATTCTGACCCAGTTTAATTTTTTTTTAAAATGTCCATATTAATTTAAATGATATTATACATACATTTTCAACTTCCATTTAAGTTTCTTCACTGAATTAAATGTGTTACATTTGGACTAGGCAAGAAAGTGTTTGGAGTATATTACAAATGTTCATGGAAATTGTGGTTGTTTCTAAAAATGTACCTCATTTGTTTAATTTCTAGTAAGAAACAAAATACATTTGTGTCTTTACTTTTATGCATTTACATTTACTTTTTTTCTACTGGTAAAATTGGAAATTTTTGAACTGTTACTCTTCACCCAATGTATATTTGTGGCTTTAAGTGTTTGTGTGTGCAATATGATATTGTTAATTAAGACTTGATTAAAAAAAAATTAATCAAATGTGTAAGGAGAGAAACTAAAGAGCAATGCATGTTTTTCATATAATTTCATCCGATATAAATACCAGGAATAATCATTTGTAGTCCAGAATGTAGGGAGAAGATAAGTGAGCTCACCATTGTTGAGAACTTGGTGGTGATATTACATGAATACGATTTTCTTTCTAAAAGGTGAGACTTGGTTTGTGGATTAATTGTGTTAAAATTTATTTTGACTTTTTCATTTAGGGACACATTTATTTAGAGGAATTAGATAATGTACCACTTTAGTTTACTCAGGACACTGAAATATCTCTGTATTTTCAGTCAGATATTGATATAACAAAATCTTTTCCAGTAGTTCCGCTGTAAGCCATCTGCTCTCTCTCCGCTGGTGGCCTCCAGTGCAGTCCAAATGAGTTGCAATGTTACAATAAAGTGATAGCAGTCACTTTTCTTGCTGTGTCTCCTCTTTGCTCATGGCAGACATGAGTGGTTGGATGGAAAGCATGATGAACTCTGACAGTCCCTGGGATGCCCAATATAAACTAGTAAAATTGCAAGAGCTGTAGCTGCTGTAGTTTATACCAGGGGCTGGGTCAGACCCCACATCCTTTCATTAAGAATGTGAAAACTCTTTAAGTGTCCTTTCATCTCAGCTAAGACTGCTAGCTGAGCATCACATATATATATTTCAGTAGAAGACCAAAAGACTTTCAAATTTGATAATGTGTGACCACATTTAAAATTCTGAAGAGATTTTTAAAATTTCATGCTTAATTATTTTGCACATATAATTTATTTTATATATTACTAAGGATAAAGAAATTGAATATATCAAGAGATTTTATTTAGTTTGTGGGTTTGAAAACTATTTAGATTATATGTTAACCAAATGTTGGATATAAAAACTAGAATTTGAATGTACACAGAAAGCTGATGAAGTTCATTACTAGTTAAGGATAATTTTAAATTTAGTTATGAACCTGAATTCATATGTTTCATCAAACACACGTGCACCTTTCTTGCTTTAAATGAAAATAGATATCCTTAAGCATATTTTCTGTGGAAATTCCACCTAAATTGAAGTGAAATTAAAGAAAATCTTGTATGAGCCTTTTAAAGGATATGTCCAATCACTTTTCTAAACATAATGTTCAAACCATACTAGAGAAGAATCATGCTTATTTGTGTTATCTGTGGAACTAGGTTATGTGAGTTCCACAAATGGACTTTCCAAGTTCATGCAGTTGGTGCTATTGGCAGTACTAATGCCATTAACAAGAAGGTGGTACCATGGATGACTGCAGTCCACCTGGCCACCTCCCATCCTGGCTGTATATGCCCGGTTGCCTATGCTGACAGTCATACTCAATGTAAATGTAATTTCATCCTTTGTGAAAATTTGGACCATTGTCTTCTTTTTTTTTGTTAAACAATGACTTTAACCAATTTGCAGTGACTATAAGACGTTTTCTTTAACTTCTTTTTTTTTTAGGAGACCTCTTCTTTCTTAAACTTTTTATGTGATTTTTTTTCCCCTTTGATATCTGACAATACAAAGTAATTATGGAGTTATTGTTAAAATTTCTTGCTAATTTTGGTTTTTTAGGCTCACAGCAGAGTTGCTATGACTCCTTTGTGCAGAGTCACGAGTCAAAGAGCAAGTAAAAATGTATGAAGGAGTTCCAGTCTTGCTCAGTTTACTCCATTCTGATCATATCAAACTTCTGAGGAGTATAGTTTGGATTCTGGCACAGGTTTGTGAAGATCCTGAGATTAGTGTGGAAATTCGGATTTGGGGTGGAATCAAGCAGCTCCTTCATATATTACAGGGGTAAGTTTTCAGTCCTCAACTTCATGGCAATTGTATGAGACTGTTTGATATTTTAAGATATATTTAACCAAGCCCTGTTTCATTAAATAGCATCTTTGGTTTGTTCAGCTTTGTATGATGCCTGCAGAATTTAAAAGGCTTTTTAGAACATAATGAGTGAGCAATATTTTTTTTTCAACTTTTCGTATTTCATTGTCATCCTTCAGGTGTTTTTCATATTTTTGGTGTATAAACTAAATAACGAATAAATCATAAATATGTCATTACTGTCTACTTAGTTTCCCAATTAATTAGACACCTATTTAGTGAGCTAGAATTGTGAATATAATTGATGAACATGGTAAAGGAGTTTTCTGCTTAAAGGCTTATTTGCTTTTTCAAAGTGTATTAGCTAATTTAGTGAAAAACATACAAATTTTCAGAACTTCAGAAATGGTTAACAAAGACATATCAAGACACTTATAATTTGATTTTTGTTTTGTTTTGTTTTTTTCTTCCAGGGAAAGAAATCTTTTTTCTGATCCCTCTTCAGTTAGAAGTTTATCTAGTGCAAATGCAGCAGGGACAATCCAGGATCTTCATTTGTCAGATGATTTGAGTCCTGAGGAGATGCAAGAAAATACTTTCTCATTTCAGGCGGATAGGTTTATAAGGTCTAATCCTCTGTTATGTCTTTACATACATTTACACAAAAACATTCAAAATATTTCAAAATTGTAAATTTTATACCTGCTTTAGGGAGTAGGAGCACCAAGTCAGATGTATTTATTTCCATATGTGCAATACCAGCACTTATTTTCAAAAAGCATAGTTTTGTTAGAAAGAAGCAAAGCATGAAGTATTAAGTATATGGGAATTAGATATATTTTTCACCTGTAAAAACATCTTGTATGTATAATTTTGGGTTTACCCTGAGATTATTTTTATTTGATCATGTTTTTCCATCTATTCAAATTTGCTATGGTAGATCAATCATGAATTGATTATGATGGAACTCTGTTTCAAAGTGGTATTCTAAAGACTACCAGTCAGGTTAGGATTCCTCAGTAGTTATGGAGCAAATTCCTTTTAGAGGAGATTTCTCAATAGGAAGTCAACTTCCCATTCTGAAAGCCTTCTGGAGGATCATGTCTTTTTCCAATCACTATAGAAGGACAATGCAAAATATCCTTACTAGAATTACATAAATGTTACCTCTGAAGAATTGGCAATGTGAAATAAATCTAGTATCCAATCTCCCTGTCTTTATCTTGACCCATGCATTTTTCCATCCTATTTTCTCCCTCTGTCCCATTAAAGAAGGGGAGTGAATGAGCAACTAGATGAGCATTTGGCCCTTTGCTAAGGTTAACCCCCACCATATTATCCAAATATATGTATGAATCTGGCCCTAAATGTTACATCTGAATTTTTATTCTAGCTTGTTGTGCTGTGATTACTGAGCTGGTGCTCAATGAGACTAATGCTTACCAAGTTGTACAGGTAGGAAGGGAAGATTTTATTCACTTAAGTAAGCTACTATAGTTTATAATTTCAATTAATTGTTGTTGTTCGCTATCATAATTTAAGAGATTGCAAAATATGCCTTTCTATAACTTTAGTATTTCTGTTTCTTTATAGAGTTACACACAGAGACATAAGCACAAAGGTATCAAAATAAGTGTCTGGTTGTCTGGAAGAATAAACAGCATTATTCAGACAAGGTTCATTTTGGTTGGCATCTCTTGCTGTGCTTTTTTCATATTCGAAACAGGATAGTAAATAAGAGTAGTCACAGAATTAACTGAGAAATGCAAATTCTGAATTACATGAAGTTTATTAAAGCAAACTATGCGGCTTAAAATTGACGTGTTATTTCACATCAATTTATCTTCTCTTAAGGGTGTTGTATTTCTGAGATAACTTCCTGTCATTCCATCTCCAGGGGTAAACCATTCTTAAAATCCCGGATTGTATTCCGGACCTAGTCAAAGATAAAAGTAATTAGAAGATAAATAGCAATGAAAACCTGTAGCCAGCTCTTACACTCTGAATGTTAACTCAGTGATCAAAGCCTTCAACTTAGCCTAAAACCCAACTAGAAGTATTCCTCAAGGAACTGAGGATCCTTAAATATGACCAGGAAATAAGTTTGTGTATATTTCAAAACTATTGGTTAGCAGGAAAGGAATGAAAGTAAGCCTAGAAAAAAATATTTTCTATGATTCTTAAGCACTAAAATCATCAATAAACAATTTAGACAACTTTTTATCTGAACAATGTAACTACATACATTTTAGGCTGAGTCTGATTTCATCAAAATAGAATATCACTTGCTTAAATTAAATGATTTTAACATAGAGGTTTTCTGTGTTGCTCTCACAATGCATGGTAACTGTAGTCAGTAAATTTCTTAAAAATTGATGGTACAATGTGCAGCCTGGGAAAAGATGTTTCAAACTTAACTTCTCCTAATCATTCTGTTAAGACACTGACTTCTCCATTTGTCAAAACACCAGCCAACAATTCCTCTCTCAGATCAGGACATACCTTCAAGCATGTTCATTTCCATTGGAGTTCCACCGTACAACAGCCACTGTAATTTAAAATCCTCCTTCTTTCTCGGTGCTAATACAACTTTGAGAGTTGCATGGGGAGCAAGATGAAGGAACTCACTTGGGTTAAAAACAGAGGAAGAAGATTTGCAGCTCATTCACTTATGTGCTGAGGAAGTCGATCTAAGTGACCTCTAAAGGTTTATACCATTTAGTGTCAAAGGACTCTTGTTTCAGGCATTTGGGAACCTTTTGCTTCTGCTGTAATTACCTTCAGGGGGCCGGTGGTGGTCTAGTGGTTAGGTTGCAGCACTCTCACCACTGCGACCCGGGTTTGATTCCAGGCCAGGGAAAAACTCCCCCGGGCAGATGGAGCTCGTCAGCCCTGTAAGGCCATCCATCTAAGAGGTCACTCTAAACAAACCTACGTCCTGAGGACCTCACTGCCACTGTCCAAGTTTGCTCGACCCCGGCAGATGAACCTCAGGATTAGAGGGTGGGCTCAGTTCAGCGCACACTGTGTCTCACCTAAAAAAATCCACTGCGCAGGCTCGAAGGGTAATGACCTTTCCCAAATCTTCGTTCGCGAAGACTGCCATACCAATTGCCTTCTACCCATCTGTCTTGTCTCCTTGCCTCAACTTACAGCCTTGGTAGCAGTCTGCAGTAATTCTGGTAGCAGATAGAATGTGCTTATGATACAATGGCTCTATTGCACCATCTAAAACCTTAGCTTAAGTCTACCTTCATGAACAGTTGAAGAAAACATGAAAAAAACTTCAACAGAGCCTCAGCAGAGCTGGCGCATATTTCCTTCAACTTTGCTAGAGAGGAGTTTTCAACAGGGAGCTTATCAAGTAATTGGGAGCACTACTCTTAGCTAAATGAACCAGGACCCATCTCTCAGACCAACACAGTGGATACATTAATGGAGGACACATGGTTGTATGAAAATGGAAGCTGAAATCAGTATGGTTTTCACAAAATCCTGCTGAAGGCACAGACTCCTCAGGCTATCACTTTTGGTGTTTCTCCAATTTGTATTTACTGAGACTGGATTTTTTGTTCCTGACAATTCAGAATATTCACATGGTGATGGGAGATCTGTTGCTGCAATTTCTTTCACCTCCAGAGATGGAAGCATTGCTTCATTATCCGTTCAAAAGCTCTCTTTGCAGTATCAGTTTAAATGGAACAGTGATTTAATTCTTTTGTAGATTTAAGTAATTTGAACTTATATTTTTAGATGTTGAGAACCTGTCTATTGGTATTAGCTTCTGATTTATCTGAAGCAACACTGATTCTTATTGGTGGTTTCTGTGCAAAGGAGCACTATTAATATTGACCTTTCTCTGTTTCTAGGCAAATGGAATATATACAATAGCAAAGCTGATTTTACCCAACAAAGAAAGGAATGCTGAAAAAGCCAGTTTATTACAGGTAACTGTAATTATTATGATTGGACATTGAAAGTCCCAAACAGTTCCTGAGAATTTTTTATGAATTGAAGTTTATTTTATAGTGAAAAAAAAAGTCATACTTAAAGGGGAAACCCCCTCCACCAAAACAAACCCAGGAATAACAAATGGCCCACGAACTAAAAGTTAAATTGTGCTTCAATTTCTGGTTTTCTGTTATGATTTGTTTCTAAAACCTTATATAGTGTAAAGGAAAGTGAATATTTTTCTTGTGATAGTCTTTCCTCCAGTTTTTCAGGTTGCCCAGCATCAGATCTTCTTTGTAGTGCCTTCATTGTCATTGAAACTCACTGTAAATTTGACACTGTACTAATATCTGTTTATTTCTGGAACATTCTACTGCAGCTGTTACATGACATATAGGAAAACAATCACATGAAGTAGAAAAAATGTAAGTGTAGGATAAATACAGACCCACTAAGCGTAGAATGCCTCTTGGTTTTGCATGTCATTACCCCCATAAATGTACTGGTTTGAGTCAACTTAGGCTAAAGGTTATCAGTAGTAATTAATTATCTGGTAGCTTTTCTCAGGCTCTGTGAAAATGTGGGTGTCTCTCTAAGCTATAGGAAAGTAGTGGGCTGGGGTTTGGGGATGAACACAGCTGCTGCTGCTCTGGTTGCCCTTCTCTGGGCAAGTCTGAGAAAGTCCTTTGCACAGGTGGATGCAGTCAGGATCCTGCCTCCTACCTGCTCTTTGTTCTGGCATAGCCTTACACTAACATGGTTACATAGCTACTCAACTATCTAATCAGGTAGGCGTGCTTGAATAGTAAGGGAAGGCATTTCCACAAAAAAAGAGTTTCGTTCTAGTGTCATCTTTCTCATTGCAGTTCTTCTAGATTAGGGCTGGGGAGCTGATTCAGTGCAGTAGGTGTCTTTCTACTACAACAGAGTTTTATAGTGCATTTCAGTTAAATCATCTTAAGGATGAGATAAATAAAAGTCTTCCTAAAGGATATATGAAACTAACATTGAGTCTAATGAATTGGAGCATATGCACACTACAGTTGCCTCACAGAATTGTAAGGAGTTTAATTTATGCCCACAGAGATTTTTAGATTGCAGCAGAATGTGTTGGAAATAACTCACAAGAGCTACTAAGCAACTGTAGCTGGGTTAAACATGAAGCCAGTGTGAATTAATAATGGACTTCATGATCACATATGAAAGCTAAATCTGTTTTGGGTAAACATTAAGAAGTATATTTTTATGAAACCTTATTCATATTCTCCCACAGCCATCTGTATTGCCTTTGTCATTGTTACTGCTATGGAATACAGTGGCAGCTATTGAAATACCCTTTTTTAATTTCTTAGGTATTTTTCTTAGAATTTTTTGAATGGTGGTCTGGTTTCTTTACTGCCCCATTGTCTATGTTTTCAGTGATTAAATGTCAGCTTCTTTCTGCCATGCTACCTTAGTGATCTTACTCCATGACTATCTTTGTTTGCTCAGCCAAACTAAAGATGAGTTGCATAAAAGCATACATATTAGCTACCTGCCAGTGGCTGTTTTAAAAATAACCTTCCTTTAGAAAAGATCATATTGGAACAAAGATACATAAATATAGAAACTGAGATACATAAAGATCCCTGTAAATATGATGAATTTAGGATTAAAAAATTGAGTGTTCTCTCTTTCTCACTCTAATTTTTTTGTCCCCTGCTAAAACTTACAGTGTTCTACACTGTATTTTTCAGAAAAAATGCAAAATGCTTTTTCTACCGCAACATTACAAACCCACTGATTACATTTACCTTTTTCAGCATTGGAGAGGAGATCAGTCTCAAGTCTTGAGCTATCTGCAAACAAAAAGAGATGATTGAGATTTAAATGTTCCTCAGCATGTGCTATTGTCACCGTTTTTTTTAAACATTTTTTTTCCCTAAATATTCCAGCATACTTTTAAAATACAGGAGGAGCTTAATATATTTTTATTCCCTTTGTTGTCGGGTAAATAAGATAATCTATCTAGTCATTTAAATACCAAGTATACCAATGTGTAAAGTCGAGGGGAATCCTTGTTGTTTATCAGTGGCTTTTCCATTTGTGTATAAATTTCTTATTAATGTAGTACTTTTCCTGTTGTAGTGTTATGCTTTCAGAGCCCTGAGATTTCTCTTCAGTATGGAAAGATATCGGCATGTTTTCAAAAGGTACGGTAACCAAATGTTTTGTGAAACTCCTTTAGGATAGTTTTCAAAAGTCCAATCAGAAAGACCTATTTTTTAAATGTAATTTATTATTAACAGGAGGAAATAGCAATGGGCAATTTCTGTCCTGTCCACAGCTACAAATAGCCAACCCTGCACTGCATCAGTGCGAGTCTACAAGATTTAGATATTCAATGTGGGGACTTGTGTGCATGCCAGACAACCTGGCTCTGCATGGGCTCCTTCTCCCCCTGTGAATCAACGTTTTAAATATGTTGAGGACAGATTCAATACTGTTGGAGATAAAACATACTTCTGCCCTGAAGACTAGCAGATGCAAGTTGCAGCCCTCAATAGTAGCAATTAACTGGGAGCAGTAAAATTTTTTCTCTGAGCCCTCAATTCCTTCACATGGGAATGACTTTGCATCAAGCTGTTTTACTTAGGAGTGTTGTTGAAAGGTTTCGATCAATAAGGACAAAATGTTTTTCATCAATTACCCATTTTTACTACTAAGATGACAGTTTCACCAGGTTGGCTGCAAAGGCCATGTGCAATATAACAGTGTGATTTGTGGTATAAGAATAGTAATCATAATGCTTAGGAGCTCTGCCTGTCAATAGTGTTTCTAGTATGTTTTTAGTATGTATCAGAAATTACTAAAATTCAAATATAACTTTTGTGTTATATTTTATTTTTTAAAAGCAGATTTTGTACTGAAAGTACCCTAGTTTGTAGTGAATTGTCATGGTTGCTGACAGGTTTTTGCAGAATCTGGGCCAATTTGCCCTCTTGATTTTTCCAAATGCCTTAATCTCCTGCATTTCTACTTCTGTCAGAACATTAAAAAGAAACAACTTCTTTTCAGCATGTAACTAATCAATTATTGCCTACTATCTGTTAGCTTTTGCTTTTCTCAGTCCTTTTCATCTTTTAGACTAGACTTCTTCAGCAAAAATTCTAATATGGGTGTCATCATTCTCTGAATGCAGAGAATTGTTAATCCTATCACTTAATGCATTACAAGAAGAAACTCAGATACTGTAAGAAAAAAAATAGGAAAATTACTGGAAACTCAGTGGAGGCTGAAGTCTGACTTTTAAAAAGTCCTTTAACTGCTATGTCTGTAATGTTAGAGGGCTAGTGTCTCAATAGATTAGTAAAAAATAAGTGTATTATTTAGGATGTTCTGAAGTAAGTTGTAATAATAAACACAGACAAGTCTCTGCTGTAGATTAATAGCTACTGTTTCTAAAATATATTAAAAAATTATACCTTTGTAGACTTTTCCCAGCTGACTTATTTGAAATCTTCATTGATATTGGACATTATGTGTGTGATATCAGAGCTTACGAAGGGTTGGCATCAAAGCTAAGTTTGTTAAAGGTAAGTAAAAACCTTAAACCTTCATAGCTTTAAGAAGTTGTATTCTTGCACATTCTTAGCACAAGAAAGGCACGAAATATTTTATATTTGTTTATTTGTCATTTAATTTATGACTAAGAGGATGTACTGAAGCAAATTGCTGAAAGTATTGAGAGTATGAATCAGAATAAGGCACCCACAAAATATATAGGAAATTATGCAATTTTAGAGCACCTTGGCAGTGGAGCTTTTGGAAGTGTATATAAGGTAAACTTCCCTTTTGCTATTATTTTACAGATTTGAGGGGAGTTTTCACAAAGAGGGTCTAATACCTGTTTTAGGCAGAACTGTCCTTTGAATTTCAGTAGGAGAATGTAGGTGCAAAAAGGCCTTTATGGATCTGGGCTTGTTGTTAGTGTTTACTGTGATTTTGTTTGTTCCATCTTGTATTTGTAAGGTTGACCAGCATATCTCTTAGGTTTTCTACTTTTACTTTCTTTTAGTTCATTTCCACAAATGGCATTTCTATCTATTACAAAGGCTAATAAATCTGTGTAAAACCACAGAAATTCAAGCATGTTTTATCTGAAAAGCAACACTGAGCACAGGTAATGTCACTTCAAACACTGTGCAAGTTCAGCAGTGTACTGCTAATCTCTATTGTGGGACTCTGTTTCTTCTATTAATCACATCATACACACATTATAACGTTTGTGAGAAAGCCCTGGACTTTGAAAACTAATTCTATAGCCACAATAACATTCTTTCTATCCCCATCCTATATTAATTGTACAAAGGTTATATCTTATTTATAGATTAGGAAGCATAATGGACAAAATCTCCTGGCAATGAAAGAAGTCAATTTACACAATCCAGCATTTGGAAAAGACAAAAAAGACAGAGACAGTAGTGTAAGAAACATTGTCTCTGAATTAACCATCATCAGAGAGCAGGTATGTCTCACAAACTCTGATTTGATGTGTGGACATTCTCGTATGGAAAACTGCCTAGTGGAAAAGGACCTGGGGATGCTGGTTGACAGCTGCCTGAACATGAATCAACGGTGTGCCCAGGTGACCAAGAAGGCCAATGGAATCCTGGCTTGTATTAGAAATAGTGTGGCCAGCAGGACCAGGGAAGTGATTGTCCCTCTGTATGTGGCACTGGTGAGGCTGCACCTTGAATCCTGTGTCCAGTTTTGGGCCTCCCACTACAAGAAAGACATTGAAGTGCTGCAGTGTGATCAGAGAAGGGCAACAGAGCTGGTGAAACCTATAGAGTGTAAGTCACGTTAAGAGCAGCTGAGGGAACTGGGGTTGTTTAGCCTGGAGAGAAGGAGGCACAGGGGTGACCTTTTCACTCTCTAAAACTAACTGAAAGGAGGTTGTAGCAAGGTGGGGCATCAGCCCAGGGAACTAGTGATAGGACAGGAGGAAATGGCCTTGAGTTGTGCCAGGGGAGATTTAAATTGGATATTAGGAAAAAGTTTTTCACCAAAAGGGTAGTCAGGCATGGGAACAGACTGTCCAGGGAAGTGGTAGAGTCACCATCCCTGGAGATACTTAAAGGATGTGCATATGTGGCACTTGGGGACCTGGTTTAGTGATGAACTTGGCAGTGCTGGGCTAACGGTTGGATGCAATGATCTTTAAGGTGTTTTCCAACATAAATGATTCTATATAGCATGACTCCCAGCGGCTTTTGCTTTTTTTTCATTCAATCAGTACTGTATTGGCCCCCTTTACCTGAATTCTGCTGATAATGAAAACCTGCTTACTGTAGTGTTAGCAACAGTGCAAATGCTTGTTACTAAAGATTCTTACTTTATATGTTGGCAGTATTTGAACTTTTTTCAGAGATTCTGTAAATTAAGATTGTGATAAAAAACTGATGAGTCTTTGTTGCATTCAGTCAAGTCTTGGTTTTAAAATACAGTGAGAAGATAGTCTTTTCTTGTAACTGAAAACTAGAAAAACAAACTAATCATTAGTGCTCCTGAGCTAAGAAAGCCAATACTTTGATACAGGTATAATTACTTGTCTTCAAACTTCATTTACTCTCTTTCAATTATTAAGGGGAGAGAGGAGAGGAATCATACTGTATTTTCCTTCTGGTTGCTCTAGTAATGTGCAACATTTCTCTGTGTTTGGGGTAGCAATGAAGATCTGCTGCACTGCAGTTCATAAACAACTTTGTGGAATCCTTATGATATCATTCCTTCCAATGTGTAGCTTAAACATTATAAATACTGTGCCATCAGTTTAACTATTCTAAGCATTTACATTTCTTTCCTCATTGTAGCTTTATCATCCAAATGTTGTACGGTATTATAGAACCTTCTTGGAAAGTAAGTATAAATGCAGAGAATTACCACATTTTACATAATGAAGAAATAGAAATATGTCATAAAACCACTTACAGCTTGTCAGGAGTCAAATTTGAGCAATAAGCTTTCTTCAAGAACTGCTACAGTTCAGACAGGCTTATATTCCTTTAAAATTGGAAAAATGGTGAGAAATTATATTTGTTTATCTATCAGTAAAACTAGATGCAATGTAAACATATGGCAAGCATCATTCTTCTTCTAAAAAGATCCAAAATTTAGAACTGAAATGCTAAATAGGGAGAAAAGCTATAGTGAGTCGTAGGATGAAAGATACAGATTGCCCAGCCACATTCTCTTAATTTTCTTTTATAAAGAGTTATCTACATACACCTGCCCCCTGAGTGATTATCAGACAGTGATTTCCTTATAGTTGCTGTGACATAAATTGAGGAAAAAATGGAATACCAAGGAGTAGAGTCATGATTAAAATGTATCTGTCCGTACAAATTAAATTTTTAAAAAGTAAAAAATAATTTCTAAAATATATTTTTACCTCAAATACTCTATTTTCAAATGCCTTCTGTATAAATATAATGTTCTATTAATTTTCTTTTATGTAGATGACAGATTGTACATAGTCACGGAGCTCATAGAGGGGGTGCCATTGGGAGAACACTTTCACTCTTTGAAGGAAAAACAACAACAGTTTACGGAAGACAGAATATGGCATATATTTATCCAAGTAAGGACCTCCATTCCTTTTACCAGAACTTTCCTGGATGTAATTGGTAGCACCATTTTTTTAGGCTAATAAATGACAAAGCAATACTTATTCTATCAGATGCTAATATCAGCTATGAATGTAATTTTATATGCCTTTATTAAGATTGTAGTTAAAGAATCTTTGTAAGGTCCTTTCTGTTTGTTTTTAAGCTTTGTCTAGCTCTTTGTTATTTGCATAAAGAGAAGAGGATTGTTCATCGAGATCTCAGTCTGAACAATGTCATGTTAGGGGATAAAGACAAAGTTACAATTAGTAAGTAGAACTGCTTTTCTCTAAGACAATTTCTTGATGTACCTGAGAAGCATTTCTTTACTGAAACTCTCAGAAGGTTTCGGTTTCCTGGGCCATTGGTCACCATACTTGGAAGCTAGTAAATTATTGCCTTGTGATCCTATAGTATCAAATGGCATGGGTTGAAAGGGGTCTTAAAGATCATCTATTTTCAATCCCCCTTGCTGTAGGCAGGGACACCTTCCACTAGACCAGGTTGCTCAGAGCTCCATCCAACCTGACCTTAAAAACTTCCAGGGATGGAGCATCCATGGCTTCTCTGGGCAACTTGTTCCAATGCCTCAGTGCCTTCACAGTAAAGAAGTTTTTCTAATATGCGATCTAAACCTACTCTCCTTCAGTTTGAAACCATTCCTCCTTGTGCTGTTACTACATCCTCTTGTAAAAAGTTCCTCTCCAGCCCTGATTTTCTGTATAGACTGGGAATGAGAAGCTGGAGAGAAGTGCTGCAGGAAGGGTCCTGGTCTATGGCAAGTTGAATATGAGTCACCAGTGCCCCGGCAGCCAGGAGGGCCAACCGTGTTCTGGGGGGCATCAGGCAAAGCATTGCCAGCTGGTTGAGGGAGGGGATTGTCCCGCTCTGCTCTGCACTGGTGCAGCCTCACCTTGAATACTGTGTGCAGTTTTGGGCACCACAATATAAGAAAGATACTAAGCTGTTAGAGAGTGTCCAAAGGAGGGCAATAAAGATGGAGAAGTGTCTGGAGGAGAAGCTGTATGAGGAGCAGCTGAGGTCTATTCAGCCTGGAGAAGAGGAGACTGAGGGGAGACCTCATTGCAGTCTACAACTTCCTCGTAAAGAGAAGAGGAGGGACCAGTGCTGGTCTCTTTGCTCTTATGACCAGTGACAGGACCCAAGGGAATGGCATGAAGCTGAGATGGGAGAGGTTTAGGTTGGATATCAGGAAAAGGTTTTTCACCCAAAGGGTGTTATAGACTGCCCAGGGAAGTGGTCACAGCGCCAAGCCTGTCTGAGTTCAGGAAGCATTTGGACAAGACTCTCGGGAACATGGTGCGATTGTTGGGGTGTCCTGTGCAGAGTTGCAAGTTGGACTCTACCATCCTGATGAGTCCCTTCCAACCTAGCATATTCTGTGATTCTATGATTCTTCTAGGCTTCCTTCAGGTACTGGAAGGCCACAATTAGGTCCCCTGAAACTCTCTCTTTTCCAAGATGAAAAAACCCAATTCTCTCAGCCTTTCCTTTTAGGAGAGGTGCTCCACACTTCTAATCGTCTTGGTGGCCCTCATCTGGACTCACTCCAGCAGGTCAATATCCTTCCTGTGCTGGGGACCTCATAGGTGTTTGCAGTACTGCAGGTGGTGTCTCACCAGAGCAGAGTAGAGGGGCAGAATCACTTCCCTCGACCTGCTGGGTGCAGCCCAGGGTAGGGTTGGCTTTCACATTGCCAGCTCATGTCTAGCCTTTCATCCACCAGCACCTCCAAGTCCTTCTTGGCAGGGCTGCTCTTGATCTGTTCATCCCACAGCCTGTATTGATGTGGGGGTTGCCCCAACCCAGGTGTGCACTTGGTCTTGTTAAACTGCATGAGATTCCCATGTACCCACTTCTCAAGCTTGTCCAGGTCCCTTTGGATGGCATCCCATTGTTCAGGTGTGTCAGCCGCAACACTCAGCTTGGTGTCATCTGCAAATTTGGTAAGGGTGCACTCAGTCCCTTCATCTTTGTTATTAATGAAGATATTACCTAAGACTGATACCAGTATGGGCACCTGAGGGACACCACTTGTCACTGATGTCCACTGGGGACTCTGAGCCATTGACCACTACCATCTGGATGCAGTCATCCAACTACTTTTTTGTCTGTCTATCAGTCTGCTCATCAAATTTATCTCTCTTCAATTTAGAGAGAAGGATGTTGTGGGGGATTGTGTCAAAGGCTTTACAGAAGTCCAGATAAATGACACATGTAGCCCTTTCCTTGTCCACTGATGTAGTCATTCCATCATAGAAGGCCACTAGGTTGTTTGGACAGGACTTGCCCTTGGTGAAGCCTGAATTGCGTCCCTGTCCTCCACCTGCCTTAGCGTAGCTTCTAGGAGGATCTGTTCCATGATCTTCCCAGGCACAGAAGTAAAATAATTGCTAATACAAACTTTGTGTTCATTGCCACCAGGTGTCATCAACCATGACTATATTTTTTTGCAGCTATATATGTCAAATATGATGGAGGAGATGATTTAGCCCGAAAAAAATTAAGCTGTAGCTATGCTTCAGTGCCTGTTTTTATTTACATCAGCAAGAATATTGAAATAACCAGATTACATAGCAAGCACTAATGAACATACAAAGTAAAACAGCTGTCAATTTTATTCTATTCCAATTCTACCATGAAGTTGCTTAGTATCCTTCAGTTGTTCCCAGTGATCAGCTGCAGTGAGGTGCTATTTGTCTAAGCCTGACTAGTGAATATTCTTGATGTATGCTTCTGTAATCACCACAGTGTGGAGGCGGGAGCCTAGGCAGGTTCTAGGATAGGCTTTGAAAGCAGTATGTGTGTGAACAGTACAAAGCATGGCATAGCTTTGGTCTTTGAGTGAATCAATACAACCTGGTACACACAGCAAGTCTTTACAGGCAATTCAGATCCTGTAGTTTTTAAAGTTCCCAGAGAACTACTGCATGCTTTCTTACTGCTCATGACACAGAAGAAAATAAACTATTTGAATGCCGCAGAATTGTTGTGAGAAGTCTTTATGCAAAATTCGATCTCTCTTCTTTAAATCTAACAGGAAGGTGTAGGTGTATGCACACACCCATGCACAAAACAATCAGCTATAAATATTCAGCAACTGTTGTTTCATAGTAAATATTTTTACCTGATGATGTACGTACTTAAATTCATTCATTATTAAATTGTACATGCCAAAAGCCCTCTAATTCATAGTAATGATATAGTTTTGAAAGAAGGTGATTTAATAGAGCTTTGAGTGATGAAAATAAATATTCAGAATATTAAAGTATCATATAAGTGTATTTTATATCATCACACTACCACTGAGGGGCACTCTTGTCTTGATTTAACAACTTTTCCTTATCTCTGGTCCAATCTAAATATAAAGAAGTGTAAGCGTACTTTCAAATGTAAGCTCAAAATTGACAGAAATATAAATGCTTTTTAATGGCAAAGATTTACGGGAGTTGAGGAAATTGGAAGAACTGAAACTTATTTGGACCATTTCTACACTGATTGGTCAAAATTATTGCAATATTTAAACAAACACTTTATTTGGTCCTACAACTAGTACCAGTGTAGTAACCATTGAATTTTTGGAGGGAGCTGAAGACCTTTTATCTATTGCTTCTGAATTTTAGTGAGCCCTGTTTTATGACCGTAATGAAATTAAGAGTAATTTACTTTCTATCTGACGACAGTAAATCTCTACTCTATTGGTGCCTGCTGGGGTATTGTGCCTTAACTCGTACCGTTTATGAGTATGCCAAAGACTGGAGCATTTTGTGATCTTGATAATTATATCTTACAGTTTTTGAGGGTAAATGTACTATCCATTTGAGAATTTCAAGTGGTTCTTGATGAAAGTTTGTTCTGGCCTCAGATGTGAAAGAGTTAATTTTCCTTCTAGTAGCTGGTACTGTGCTGTGTTTTGAACTTAGTATGACAATAATGTTATAACACACTGATGTTTTAATTGTTGTTAGGTAGTGTTTACTCTAAATCAAGGACTTTTCAGTTTTCCATCCTCTGCCAGTGAGGAGGTGCATGGCAAGCTGGGTGGGGGAGCACAGCCAGAACAGCTGACCTGAACTAGCCAAAGGGATATTCCATACGACAGAACACCACGGCCTGTATATAAACTGGAGGGAGTTGGCTGGGAGCTGCTGATCGCTGCTTTGGGACTGGCTGGGCATCACTCAGCGGGTGGTGAGCAACTGTAGTGCGCATCACTTGTTTTTCCTGAGTTTTATTCCCCCCCCCCCCGTCTCTGTCTCTCTCTCATCATCATCATGGTAATAGTTATTATCATTATATTTTATTTCGTTTCTATAATTGAACTGTTCTCATATAAACTGTCCAGTTTTACGGGTTTTTTTCCCAATTCTCCTCCCCACTGGGGGAGATGGGGAATTGAGTGTCTGGTACTGAGTTGCTGGCTGGGGTTAAACAATGACGAAGTTAATACAAAATGTCAGATGAATATGAAGCATATGCTAAAATATTAAGAAATCTCTGCATTGAATTTATCCTGTCAGCTTTTATAAAAAGAGAAGGTCTGCTCCAAGATCTACTGAAAACTGTAGTTCTGTGTTTACAAGCTGCACAGTCATCCTAAATAGAGTTAGTTCAATTTTCTGGAGTCTTTCAGATCTGAAAACTGACCCAAATGTTGCCTTGATCTAACTAGAATAATGTTTCTGTGGACTACCTGTGAAGCGGTGTTGTGTGACTATGTAATCAAGTTATGGCCCAAATTATTTTGTTCCATTAAAAAAAGTTTGTATATCTTATAATGCTGCTATTTTTTCTTTTCCTCAATCAGTTCTTCTGGAAATAGTAACTCTTGTTAATCTCTTGCTATGAGACTCTGCAGGCTGATGATATAACGAAGGCAGCTCATTCCTCTGTAACTAATGTTCTTCAAAAATGTTGTCTTTAGAGAGGCACCTTAGCTTCAGAATCTCATGGTATATTTTTATTTAAAAAAATGAATGAAGTGAGCAAAGTGCTTCTATAGATTAAGACTTTAATTTTGCAGCAGTCCCAGCAATGAATTGCTTTAAGAAAGTTCTTCAACCCACAAATAGGCATTTTGTACCATGTATGTGACAACGGAACCTCTCACATTCCAAACCCCTTGAAGATCTCTTATGCAGTTTCTGCATTTAGGCTGGTTGAAAAGGAAAGGAGTGCATAGTGTGGGAGACACTCCCACCTTGCTGTCAGAGCACAAAACAATAAACCTGCTAAAGAATTATGCTTG